TAGCTCAAATTGTTCTCTAACTACTAGCTCAAATTGTTCTCTAACAACTAGCTCAAATTGTTCTCTAACTACTAGCTCAGATTGTTCTCTAACTACTAGCTCAAATTGTTCTCTAACTACTAGCTCAGATTGTTCTCTAACTACTAGCTCAGATTGTTCTCTAACTACTAGCTCAGATTGTTCTCTAACTACTAGCTCAGATTGTTCTCTAACTACTAGCTCAGATTGTTCTCTAACTACTAGCTCAGATTGTTCTCTAACTACTAGCTCAAATTGTTCTCTAACTACTAGCTCAGATTGTTCTCTAACTACTAGCTCAATTAGACATCTTACTATAAATAAGGAAACAAAACTTTTAATTTCTTATTTTGAATTCAAAACATTCTTTTTGACAATCAATATGGATTTTAATTTTCTTGTTCTACAAATTATTTGTTGACTGTTAAGGTTAAAAAGTTCTATTTTGCATTAGGTTAAGGCGCCAAGACAAAGGCAGTTCTTTTTGATATTATTATTAAAGGCATATTAAGGCGTTTAGTTACGTTAGTCTGAGATTCTGGTTTTTTCCTGTAAGTTTTGTTTATATGGTGTATCTAGGGAAGTTTTTATAACTAATCAATCTCTTTTATCTGCTGTATTAAACTGGTTCTTAAAGGCCAACTTCAAAAAGTTTTTTCTATAAAATGTTGTATTAAATCAAACACCAATTAACCAGACCAAGAAAAGTTTAAAAACTTGAATAAAGTTTTTTTAAATGATAGATTGCTTGCCCAAACCAAAACCTAAGTTGATGTAGCAGCACTTCCTGGCTGCCACAAGCTATAAGATTAATTAAGCTATAAGTTAATTTATCAACACTCCACCCATGGTTTTACAGTAAAAAAGCAACACCCCTTACATGTTTTACATATTTGTCAGTCAATCTAGCACAACACTTGTGCATGTTTTAGAAATAAAAAAAATTCAAATAGTTTAACAGACAGCTCATTTTTTTAAAGCAATCTTCTAAGTTTTTTTTTATTTGTACAATTAAAATTCTACATACTGAGTTTTTAGAATGAATAATGGGAGTGGTTTTTAGAATGAGTTTTTAGAATGTTTTTAGAAAAAAAATGTCCCCCTCAGATTTATGAAAGTAAATAAAACTAATATATATATAAATATATAAATATATATATATACATGTTAATTATTTACAATTAAAATTCTACATACTGAGTTTTTAGAATGAATAATGGGAGTGGTTTTTAGAATGAGTTTTTAGAATGTTTTTAGAAAAAAAATGTCCCCCTCAGATTTATGAAAGTAAATAAAACTAATATATATATAAATATATAAATATATATATATACATGTTAATTATTTACAATTAAAATTCTACATACTGAGTTTTTAGAATGAATAATGGGAGTGGTTTTTAGAATGAGTTTTTAGAATGTTTTTAGAAAAAAAATGTCCCCCTCAGATTTATGAAAGTAAATAAAACTAATATATATATAAATATATAAATATATATATATACATGTTAATTATTTACATTTGTATAAATAACTTATATATATATATATATATATATATATATATATATATATATATATATATATATATATATATATATATATATATATACATATATATATATATATATATATATATATATATATATATATATAT